GTAATAATAAACAATAAATAATAATAATAATAATAATAATAATAATAATAATAATAATAATAATAATAATAATAATAATAATAATAATAGTAATAATAATAATTATTATTATTACTATTATTATTAATCAATAATAATTAACAATTAATAATAATTAGTAATAATAATAATAATAATAATAGATGTAATTATGCGGTTTTTTCGACAGGTGGAATTTTCGAGATTTTTCACTTCCCGCTTTGTTTTTACTAATCGCTGCTATAAGCAGTTGCTGAAGCATCCACTTATTTTTGTATTCTTTGTTACTTCTTTTTTTACATGATCATTTTTTAGGATGCAGAGATTTCAAATATCAAAAAAGCTTATCGCCGATTGAGTATGGAGTGGCATCCAGATCGTAATCCAGATAAAAAAGCAGAAGAGCAATTCAGGAAGGTTCTATTTTCGTTCTACTTCAGCATATATTTTGTGTTTCATTCTTTCAATTCTTCAGTTTTATAACTGAAACGAATATTATTTTCTGCGAATGACGAGTACTTTCCTTCTAGATCGCTGCCATTTACGAGGTTTTGAAATCGCATAATTTAAGGGAGGAATACGACCGTATTCTAGAAAACGGTCTTCCCGATTGGAGACAACCTGTGTTTTACTATCGGTTGGTTTATCTATAGTCTGATCTGATAAAAAAAATCTGGTAGTGTAAAAGATTTCTTTCTAATTTGCCGAAAAGAATTCCGAAAACTTAGTTATCCCCGGAAAAGATGTACATAGAAGCATACAGAAAATGCATACTGTATGCATCTTTTTGCAGGCAGCTTTTCACGAAGAGTTTCATTTTTTGTTCTGTTCTCTAGTTAACTTCCAAGAATTGTTACAATAATTAATTAGCTAAATGCTCATTTGTCATCCGTCCCAACGTGGACAATACCTCTGATTTTTTCAGACGTGCTCACAAATTATCCTGGTTTGAAGGAGTGGTCATACTTTTAACAATTTGTTCGATTGGTCATTATTTCATGCTATGGGGTGCTTACATAGATAAGTATTTGACATTGGTTTGTTCTAAATTCAAGATTAAATCCAATATCGGCCTTTTAAATTGGCCATTTTTTTGTTTTACACTCATAGTTTTAAACACTAGTGTACAATATCTGCGGATGTGAAAATAAGTATTCGAAGTTGGAAATCAATCGTTTCTTATTTGATACTTTGTTGTAATGACAAAATTCCCGTTTACAATTCCACTTTTCTGTGAGGAAATTTGTAGAAGTCTCTGGCATTCTCCCATCTAGAACAACCCGATTTTTACTTTATGGATATCCATTTGTTTCCAGGAGTATATTAGATAATATATATCGATCCCTATATTAGATAATATATATCGATCCTATATTGATCCCAGCATATAATGTGATTCGTATGCTATTTTGCAGTCCTCAGGTCGTAGCAAATTGCGTAAGAAGGAAATTCGACAACTGAAAAAGATTGGAAGTGATGCTGAGACTGTACATGAGGCAGAAATAGCTGAAAAGCTTTCCAGTATCTTTCCGTCCTGGCAAAATTCCTTACCGGCATTGCTCATATCACTGCTGTATAATGTTGCTGTTTCATTACCAGATTTTGTCCGTGCCTGTATCACTGTGTATCACTCTAAAGTTGAAAAGTCTGAGGTTACCATATTTCTTCTTTCTTGGCACAGTTCTACTTTTGTGAAGCTACAAGCTTTTTTTTTTCGTGTAATTTTATATGCTGATATCTAGTAAACATCAGGGAAAATTGATTTTCCGCCCAGTAATTTTGAATTCGATTGGCTGGTTCAGAATGATGTCAGGTTTTTCTAGAAGGATAACGGCGACGAAGTTTCTTTCCGTCGTAATGTTGCAATACGGCAACCTGTTTATGAATACGTTGTAGCTTCGGATGTAAAACCAGTCCTTTCTTGTGTTTTCAGTGAAGATTCTGCTGGAAAATCAGATTCGGAAAATGGTGGTAAGTAATTTATGAATTGATTTTAGTGTATTGGCTCAATTTTCGAATTTTTTTGAAGATCATCTGCATTAGGATGTAAAACGACGTTTTTACTTCCAATTGCCTACTAAATATTTTGACATTTTATAGCTAGTAATTTCAATCACCACCATGTGATGAAATAACATGTTTTTTGAGATTCAAAGTTTCATTTACTCATTTTATTAGACTTATTGTGTGTTGGGCATGAAGGCTTTTATATACTGAAAGTAGCTGTGAAGTTATGTAGGGGCTATCACTAGAAGTCTTTATTAATTGAAACCATTTTAATCGGTGAGGATGATAGAAATGCGTTATGAGGAGGACTGAAATTCTCTTCGAATTTCATTTGCTGAAGTTTCTTTTACTTAAAGTGTCTCTTATAATGATTTTCAGATGTTATACACAGCGGTTCATGGACTAGTGAGGAATTGACACTGCTTGTTAGGCTGAGCACCGAGAAATATCCTGCAGGCACACCCAATAGGTTATGCTGGATTTTTTTTGATTGCTTTAGTGAAATCAGAGAGATGCTCTGGTTTCATTTTTGATGTTTACGCTGGACTCTTTTTCAGGTGGGAATTGTTGGCAAAAGCATTGGATCGGTCACCGCAAAGCATAACTTCTATGGTCGGTAAATTAAAGCAGATGAAAACGGTTGGCTCAGATTTGTATCTAAGTGTTTCGAAGTTTCAGATTTTTGTAATTTGCGATATTAACTACTTACTTTTTGTTTCTTTTCTTTTTGGGTGTAATGATAGGACACAGGTTTCATTGTTATCTTTTATGCTTATTGCGGGGTCTCATATTACTACTTGTGATGCTATTTTTATAGGATGAGTATGCGAACTTATTACGTAGCTCACAATCAAATGTTATTGTGCAGAATGATGCGCATATGAAATTGCTAAAGCAGTCAAGCCAACTTTCTCATGAAAAATCAAATAACTGGAGTAATTCAAGGGAAGATAGCGACAATGAAAAAGAAAAGATCTCAATGGTATGGTCGGACTGTGATCAAAGGTTGTTTGAAACAGCACTTCAGGAATTTCCGAAAGGAACTGCTGATCGGTAAGATTTTTTTTAGTGATAATTAGCTATAATTAACATGTATTGCTGAATAATTATAGACAAAATTTAAAAAAAGAAATGAAGAAATGTTGTTTTGTTGGATGTATCCCTTTACTCCTGTCAAGTACTTGACTCTCTTTTATCATTTCCATCATTACTTGACCAGGTTTACCAGAATTGTAGAATAATTTACTGTAGTGCTTGCTTTTCTAGTAACGTGAACGTCTAAATGCATAAACCTTGGAAATATCTTAAATCCATTTTGTTTAAACTGACGCCAGTCATAGTTGATGCTATCCTTTTTTTCACACAATTTTAAAAATATTAGTCGGTTTTTGCGTTCTAACACGTAAGCAAATATCTTTTCTTTTCTTGTCGTTCTGTTCCTCCATCTCTATCAAGAATTAATTGATGTTCAATTCGAATTGGTTTTGTCGTTATTGTTTTTAGGTGGGACAAAATTGCTAACTGTGTATCCAGTAAAACTAAACAGCAGTGTATCGAACGATTCAAATATTTGTCGGAAATAGTTCGACAAAGGAAATCACATCACAAAAATACGAAGTAAAATTTTCGAAGCTGTGATTTCAGATTGCAGATTTTCAACCACTCTGTATGATCGGAGAAATTTTGTCATTTTTTAGATCAAGCTGATTAATATCTAATCATAAAAATATAAAATTAATTAGTTTCGGGATTTTGTTTTACGACCCTGATCACTGAAAGATGTGAAAGCTTCAAATATTTGGTACATTCGTAATACGATGAAATAAGCCATTAAACGGAATGAATGGAAAGAAGTAAAATGCAAATGTGAAGAGAATGAATTATGCTCATTTTGAATGATTCTAAATTTTCTTATACATTTCTGGACTTCTAGTTCATTTTTTCTATTTACTTCTTTTAATAATTGCAGGAAGTAGTGTATGGATATTTGTATAGTGATGATATGAATGTTCTTTTTTGGTTGTGCAGAGTACTGTGTTTCCAGAATTGCGACTATTCTGTCAGCAGAGTAACTTTGATTATGTGATATGATTATGTCAAGCGAAGCTATAATAAAGGTAAGCAACCTTGTCTGCACTTTACTTGTTAAGACGGATTAGAAGTTAAAATCTTAATGATTAGATTGGTCTTCGCTTTGCAGCTCTATTATACTGTTACATTGTGAATTTAATGAATTTAATCCAAAACGCTGTGATTTCCTTGACTTTCATAAGCTTGTCTCAAAATCTGAATTCGGTAGCACTTGTTTTCCCTGTACACCATTTTAAATTTGAATTTCCAAATCTAAATTGTAAGATAGAAGGTTTTCAGAAATGCTGCAAGGTTTCGTTTGTAATATTTTCTCAGATATCTTTCATATCATGATAATAATATTTTCAGAACAAAAAAGTTTTCTTTTTTCACTTTCTACAGTGGTTAACTGTAAGAGGGTTTTGAGGGTTTTATTGTTTTATTTGTGCCATAGATTGTCATGCTGTAAATTCGATTTTTTCATGAAGTATACGCTATGCAGATTGTCATTTCCAGCTAATAATTCAAATCAAATAAAAGTTACGAATTCAGGTTAGCGGGATCGTGAAATTTATCTTAGTTAATGAAATAATATATAACTGAAATAAATATCAAAGAGCTGAATCTTTCTCAAGTTTCTCTTTTTGCGTCGATTGGTTCTTTGGGCTTTTTAATTGGTCGAATGCCTTCGTTTCATTGTTGACTGTGCTAAAACTGATGACGTTTATGTGTTTTTGAAAGCTATATTTCGAAATTTAAAGGTTCACCAACATTTTCAATATTCGAAAAGCAAACTTGCTGGAAACGGAGGGAGCATCTTCTCGGCCGTTGATAAGCAAATTTACCGTAAATGGTAGCTCTAGACCATCAAACTGTAAAAACATAATTGAGGATTGTAGAAGTAACGAAGCTATTAATTATAACTCAAATTTCTCACTGGAAAAGATATTCTGAATCTTTAGGGCATCAATAAATATGAAAGTGAGAGTTTCACACAGGTAAGTATTATTAGACTAATTAAGGGACACATCTGGCATTACATCGCCAGTGATGATGGCTTTTTAAAAAGTAGCTTTCTGGAATTTCGAAACAGAGCCAAATAATTACCATATCTGCCTTAAATTCTTTGTATTCACCTTCAGGTAACGCAGACCTATCCTGTTTCACTTCTCGCAACTTCTGTTTAATATTCTCTAAGATAAGAATAGAATTCTGGAAATCAAGCTCAGACAACCGCATAGCCGGATTTGTTGATGGAACAGTGGTGAAATTTGATGTTATGTTTCATATTGTAGTGAAGTGTAGGGAGAGACGTCAGATTCAAGAGTGGTAAAACATTAGATTGGATATCATTGGATCCCAAAGTTCGAAGGAAAATGACACAGCCCACTTTCTGCTTGTCACAGATCTTTCAATAGCCTTTTTAATCTCAGCAGATATACTGTCTTACAAAGTACAGTGACACCTGATAACGAGAAAGGATCACTAGTTTAGTTAAGGTCCGTATTACTCAGAGACAAATTCCTGCTAAAAGTTAACTGCAAGAAAGATCATTTTGTGACCACCTATAATTATGTGCCAAAATTTAAACGGAGTGAAGTGGAAACGAAGTTCCTGGACTTTGGGGTAATGTTGTGGAGTTAAAATGAACTAATAACTTGAAATATTTTGCATGAAATGGCTCTCCTTAAACTTCATCAGATATTCAAACATTAAGCATTACAACCCTACTGACATCGTTTGGAATAGTTCTGTCACATCTTGTGTCAACTCGATTTTACCGTTATTTTTCATACATCCAGTGCAGAAGATAAGAAGTTGAAAAAAACGACGATAAAGGAAAGGGTTGGTCTAATTACTTAGTTTAATTACTGCCTTACAAACACTCAAACAATTTACATTTAAAATGTGAAAAAATGATGATAATAGAAAACATTATTTCAATAAATAATACAAATCGTATCGTCAATTTGCATTGCAACAGCACCATATACAATTTAAAAATCCTCTATTCATAAAACACAACATTTAAATTCTTGTACTACTTTTAAAATTCAAATTAACCCAATTCAAATAAATCGGGACAATTTAAATTCCCGGTCCATTTTCTTTACTAAGCTCTACAAAGTTAATCCCAGATTAATGTCCTAATCTTGTTTGAAAATTTTTCATCTTTCTGCTCACGCGTGAAATGGCATCATTTTTCCGATATTTTTTCGACTCTCCTACGAAACTGTTGAAGGAAAAGCGAGAGATGGAGGGAGGAAGGGGAGAGAAAGAGGGAAATTCCTGCTTTAAAGTAACAGTTCTTTGGTGGCAACAAATATGAACTAAACATGACTGAACAATAGAAACATATGAAATAATAAGCTGTTAAGTTCATAATGTATGAAATTTCCCGTACAGCGTGTAAATTTATTTTTTACAAAAGTTCAAGAATTCGAGTTAAATTTAGATGAAATTCAAGATTTTTTCTCGTTGCAACAGCATTGGATTCTGTTCTACCCAAATACCCTAGATAGCACTGGAAGGGAACTTTTTTAAAAAGATTTTCTGTGATGATCGGGAAAATTACAGTATGATTTGGTAGATCGGCGGTGTGGACATTTATCATGTAAGGCACACAAATCCACATCAAACGGATAATATTAGCTAATCTTGAGAATAAATTTGAGAAAAAAACAAAAATATTGGCATTTTTTCACTTTTTCACAACTGATGAGGTTTAACAATTATTTTCATTATCACTTTCAAATCATTCATCTTGAGGATTAAAACTTCAAAATTTAGCTTTCTTTCCGAAATATATGATAACAGATTATGGCAAGAATTCGTCAATTGAGCAAAAAAATTGCACAAATATTGCAAAGACAGGAACAGTACTGCTTACTCATCATACTCGAACACCGTGTCGTCCCTCCGAGTACATGTGTGGTTGAGCATATCGGACCTGACTATCCGCATACATGTCCATATTTTTGGCATTTGTATTGTATGTAGCTTGTTCGGTTGGTGGCCTGTGACGTTTGAAAAAACCACACTGAAAGAAATTTTGATTGAATTTAAAATCGTCATATTTTACATTTTAAGAATACACCGTAAATGGTGCATGACAAAGAACCAGTTGATGCATAATTTACTCTGAAGCATTTCGATGTTAAATGTTAATTTTAGCTGAATAACATATCACTTGGGAAAGCATGCCAAACTGTCCTGAAGAATCTTGCATAGGGTTAAAGGATTTTTAAGGAATCAAAATCAGTACACGGTGATACTTTTTACGTGCGTTACAAACCTGGCTGTGACTTCTTATTTCAAAATTTTTTTCTGAAATAAGTGAATATATAATAAATAAATAAGTTTACTGTGCATAAATTAACAAGAAGATTACAATGATTACCCTCCAAAGACATAAGATAAGAAGTGCTAAGATGACCAATCCAATAAGGATAGCAATTAGATATAACCACCACGGTACACCACGTTTCGCTTGTTCTGGATCCGTTGGATTCACGTCCGTGGTTACCTGGCAACAGAAGATATCATTTTAATTTCCTACTTACAATATAACATAAGCATATAATCATATGCCAAAAGGATTGAAAATGATTGCCAAATTAATGTCCATTCTCAGTTTTAGTCATATTTTTGCCGATACGACAATCCTTTCGTTAACAAAAAAAAAGAAAGAAAAACCATCTGTTTTTAGAGCATATAAAATACCGCGACAAGTTGTGCTGGTGGATTATAACGTGGCGCACTGGGCAATGCTGATATTTTAGCCATTCCAATGGATGAGATATCAGCTTCATAAATATTATTATCAATTAGGGTATTCACAGCTAAGCGAGCGTAGATTTCCACCAGAACAAATTCATCCTCATTAAGCCGTCGAATATCACACTCAATATGCGTGCAGTTATCTTTATTGCAACCCTAAAAATAAATGCATTATTTTCATGAGAAAAAAAAGTGAATTGAGAGATTCTAATTTGAAATGACAATTAATTAATTACACGGGAAAGTGAGGAAAGCTTAATTTTCGACAATATTATGAAAATTTATTCACTTATTTTTCAACTTTATTTACTTTTCTACTTATCCAACTGGTAGTTACTCAAGTTCTTACTTCCTTTTACATCAAAAAACTTACAATATTCGCCCGACTCAAAGGTCCTTTGTACTCGATAGCTTTTCCAGCCGCTTTAGCCATTCTAACAGCTTGTTTCATATTATCTTTAGCTTGAATAACTCGAATTCTACGTTGATCAGTTAGTATTTGATGTTGAGATCGTTTGATCTTCCGATTGCGAACTCTATGCTCTGTTCGAATTTGCATTCGACGTAGCCTCAACTTATAATCATCGTACATTTCTCGAACGTGTTCCTCACGTTCATAGTGGTGCACAGGTATCTGATCATCGTAGATGATGGCTGATGGCGTCGGAATGTGTTCATTTGAGATCTAAAAAATATGCACTTATTTTATGCAAAAAAGAAATTTCCTCTTCAAAAATCGACCATAAAATACTTTTCGCGGAATACTGCATGAAAACAGTCTTTATCAGGAGTAGGACGTAAGTTTCAATATTGCTGTTATCAAATAACAAATAAGGATGAAGTCAATGAATTTTAGTGCGTTTTTTCAAGGGAAGCTACAAATAGCTAAACTTGTGTTCAACCTAACTGCTTATAAGTTGGAGCTTATACTCAACTTGATTGTTTATAAGTGAACGAATAAGGGAGTAAGATCCAATGAGATGTCCAAGTGAAAAAAAAAAAGTGAAGTTGAAAACGCTGTGGAAGATTCCTTTTACATCAAAATTATCTGGAACTTTCACATTAAATCTAAAAAATCTGCGCAATGATCGGAGATTCGCAGTGACTACATATGAGGTATCATAGTGAATCTGCTGAATTTATTTTTATAATTTTCAAATACTAAAAAATTGTCACCGTCAAACTATCCGGATTGATATTTTGTGCTTGTTTCACGCGGCACTTTACTTTGTCAGCATCATTCACTTGTGGTTCATCAATCAAATACAACAAGTGTTTCCCATTTTCAGCAAAACTTGGCCAAATGATATCTAACGAAGCGCCACTAATGGCACTTGGACCACGATTTATGACCTGAAAATTTTTTAGATTGCTGACAATTTGCCCAAACTTTTGGTAATCAAAAGAACCTTCATCCACAAATTTCTGTTTGGAATAGATTATTTACGTTAACTTAAATTCATAATTCGAAAATTAAAGATGAATTTAAAATTAAGGCAGATCCTGAATACTCATTAACCTGGTACAAATGACTGACAACGGGACCGATTTCGGAGTCAAAAATAGGATCACTCGGAGTTCGATTCCGAATCGAGTAATCCAGTTGTTCCGGTGTTGACCGGCCAACCAATGAAAGCTGCGCTTTAATTTCGACTGGAACTCGTACAGTTAATTCATTATCGGCATCGCGGCCGAAAGCCTCTTCATTACTACTGAAAGCATAATAGCGACATAATTTACCAATTGCTACAGTCCTAATAAAGAGGTACTTCACGAACTATTCCATGATCGGACATCGACTTTCAATAATTCGTAAGTCTATTACGGATTGTTTAAAATTATTAGTTAATTATCTGAAGTTCTGCTGTCAAAGGGCAAGCAATAAATCATGTCAGATCTCTGCACTACCGTTGACTGCATGCTTAAATACTTTATGTAATTTAGAGGGTATTACATTGTGACATCTATCAAATTAGTACTGTTTTAAAACATTTCCGTTACTCGTCGAATCTGTCCTTCCAATTTCCATCCGATTTTAGACTGATTTTTGTATAAAAAGATTACAAAATAGATCAGCAGATAGGTATATTATTCATTACCTGTTGACAGACATTTTAATTTCGATGGCTTCATCTGTAGCATCTACTTTGGTACCCGTCAAACGGAATCCAAATTTGGCTTCACTGTTACCTGTTAGTGGATTACCAATGTCACATGTAAATACGTATTCTTCATCTTTTCCTGTTTTAGATTGTGGCGAACAACTAAGTGGTTGCTGGAAAGTGTATGAAATTTCAAGCCGTATAAAATTTTCAAAATTTGAAAAATCTTTGATCTAATATAATCTCATGATCATTAGATATAATCAGCAATCTTATGATGTCGTTCCATTTATAAGACGTAGATTTCTAAAAAATTTTGATGAACAGTTACAGCTTTGCAAAATAAGCAGGAATTATAATGGGTTAGATCAAGGCACATAGTGTTTCCAATCCCTCCGATATAATTGAAACGATTAATGATTGAAACGATGATTGGAACGTGCGGTCTTTTTATTTTTCCGATCGTCAAATCCGGTCAAATGATCTTTATCAAGTGTTTGTATAAACCTGTGTGGCATAATTCTCGACACCACCATATTCGAAGCCCGGTGGTATTGTGATAAAAAATTGTGATTCATGCGAATCCTCCCCGCGGTTTGCGACCGTTACGTTAAGAATTAATGACTGATCAGCTGCACCAATGGTGAATTTCTTTTTGCTCCTTAATCCAATCACAATAAGCAACACTGACAAGCATGTGTATATAAATTTAGCGGAATTTTTGCGGTTCTAAAAACCTCAAATTTGATATAAATTCCTTAAAATCGTTAAATAACAAACCACGTCATAATAAAATACCAATTGTTTATCAGCTTAGTCGCATTTCAACTGATCGGTCCTTTGCTAAATGCTCTAGCTATCGTCAGTACTACGACTTTATACTTGAAAGAAAAAAATAGGAAAAAAAACTTTCCAGTTTAGTGAAACATATTCCACCAATCCATTCTAATTGTCTGGTAATCGAGATCATTAGCGAGAAAATGAATAACATTATTGACAATTATTTTACTGAATTTACAGTAACTTGAAGACTTACGAGATGGCATGCACTTGTAGATCCGGAATGCACTTCTCATCTGGACCACAATTTTTATCTATCGGAAGCTGGAAATCACCGTATCATGAGTTGAAAACATTAAATCAGAGTTTTGCTTAAAATTAAGTCAGTGTTTTGTTTAGTTTCAAACAAAAACATGTAAGCTTCGCTGTAGTTATTTCTCGGTTTAATAAACTTGATGTCGTACTTCAACTTCAAATGATAACGGTACGGTAGTATCCAGTGCAGGTTCCAAATGACCACTCGTTGATACACCGGATGTACGTTCTTCATAACTGTAGTTCGCCATGATATGTATCGGATTTAACTTATCGCGTATTGTATCCTGTAAGGACATTTTATGAAACATCTGGAAATAACGATTATTTTGACTATTTTTTGCATACTTTGATTTTAATTCGCAATGAAATCCATGATCTAATGTATATTTGATCCCGAAATGTAAAATTTATAAAATTTCTACATAAATTTTCAATCTTTTAAATTAAAAAAAAACTTACAGAGACATAAAAATCGTACGTTTCGCAGTACTCATGTCCTTTCCGTAAATGCACCATCTGCTCAATTATATCCGGTTGATCACGTGATGCAGCTTTTCTGTGAACTTTCATATTGCGTTTATTGTTCTAAATGTGAGCAATGGTAATTTGAACAGGATTAAAAACATTTAAATTAATCGAAACTTACCAATTTTTCGGGATATATTTCAAAAGAAAAAATCGGACAAAATTTAACATCAGCTCGGATAATTCGTATACTTTTATGCAATGAATGTAAAATTTAACAAAAGAAAAACGAAAATGAAAGTTACAAACAACTGAAGTTTAAAATTTGTCCATTCCCTTATTAAAATTATTGAAATTCATTGTGACATGTTTTATAAGCAAACCTTTTTTTTTCAAAAACGGAAAATATGCTTTCTCCTTATACAATCATCAGTATCAGTCCATGATGATGATTCCGCTAAACAAACCGGAAATTTTCCCTATTTCATTTCTTTGTGTTGTTTAGTGTCCCACTTGGCCATCTAATGGTCAGCCCCAATCTCCCCTAACATACAAATACGCCGCAAACCCTCCCTTTTTATCCCGGCAACAGTTCAATTTCAAGTTCCCGTTCACAAAACATACCAAATCTCGCCGTCTAAAAAATGCTCGTGGTGTAATAGTTTTCTTAGAATCAAGTTGAAAGAGAAGTTTCAGATCAATATCCGGTGGTGATTGACCTTTGCCTTCGTATTGCATACAAAGTTTCATTTGCTCACTGGAATTACGCAAATAATCAAACTTAAATTTCGGACAGTGCTTCGCATTTTGAAAATTTGATTTAAAATTTGAAATAACATGAAAAAATTGTGTATGTGAACAGAGTAAATATTGAAATATAATAAGTGATTCGTAAATTTTTACATTAAAAAAAGATAAAAAAGAGAAAGAGAGAGATTCTTAAAGCTTCTACTTAATGGTAGAAACAAAGAGCGAAACTTTGTTTAGCAATTAGATTATTCATTAGATCGAAAAATATGCACCAGGCCATCATTCCAAATTCGGTTGAGCAAGTTTTATCCTCCAGATTAATTGAGTTCTTAGCTGTAGTTAGTGAACCCCTTACTGTAACTACTGGTTTCGTTTTAAAGACCACTGCATGAGCACTTTGGTAAGCACCAACGGCAATATCTAAATGAAATTTATATCAATCAATTGAACAGATAAAGAATTATCACAAATCTAAATCCAATCCAAATAACGGACTAGTGTATTTGGCTGAAAAACCCAAAATTCCCTAACCTGGATATTGATTTTTATCGATATCTTTGCCACCAGCAAGCGAGAATCCAAATGCTTTTAAATCAGCGTTTACTTTTCGTGCTTCAATTTTCTGCGTTGGTTCCTTACGTACGCCATTTTTCGCTCCGTGATATACGTACACGGCACCTCGACGATCATCACCATCATATGGTGCCCCAACGATAAAGTCTGTAAAGCAATATGATTTGTTTGAAAATAATGCACTGGAAGAATTGTAATACACGAAAAATACAAACAAACGACAACATTAATTCAATGACAAACGAATAAACAGAAAAAGAAAGAAAGAAGTGAAACAAGAAATAAAACAAGTAAATGTAAAAAATGTGAGCTTAAAATTAGAGCCTCGTATCTTCTGGAACAAAAAATGAACGTAAAGTTGGACGCAGTATATCTTCCAGAAAAAATTCTTCAAATTCACTTTTTTGAATTTGGTTAAATTTGACTTTTAAAATCACCATTATAACCGTCCTGATTTAAATCACCAGCAGCCGCAATAGAATAACCGAACCGTGACCACTCGGTATGCCCCAACAATGATTCCCATTTGGGGAAATCATGCTGCAAATATTTAATTCCACTTAATTTAGAAATAAAACAGACAGAATTTAAATAAATATTATTCGTTGAAAGTTACTGCTGTTGGCTTGAATGAACAAATTCTTGGAATAAGCATTCATAAAGGAATAGCTGTACAAGAAATCAACATTTTCAACAAAAAGTTTCCAAAAAAATCATCGAAAAATTATTGAAATTGCTGATTTGTTGTACAACTATACATTCCTTCATTATTCATTCGGAAGAGCTTGGAAATTTCAAAAATTCGGAATTTTTTTAAAAAAAAAAATGCAAATGAGCTCACATCTGGTCCTTGGAAGAAAACCATAACTTTGCCAATATCGTAACGAGGCTTATGTTCTTGAGTTTTCACATCCATCACTGTCTTGTAGTCAGTATAAAATGGTGATCCCACGATGATATCGTCGTAACTGAAAAACGGCACAAAACTTCCTTCTTTTTTCACATAGCTTTAATTAATTAAATTTCAATTAGCAGCCAATAATTCAATTT